GAGTTCGAATTCTAAGGAATCCAGATGGATATGTCCTAACTCAATCACATTATGTGGAAAAGGTTCTAAGAAGGTTTGGACATTATGATTGTAAACCTGCAGTAACTCCTTTTGATCCCATTCATAAACTTACTAAAAACGAAGAAGATAGCGTATCTCAATTGGAGTATACCCAAGTTATAGGTTGCTTGATGTACATTATGAATTGTACAAGACCTGATCTTGCTTATTCAATAAGCCGACTAAGTAGGTATTCAAGTAATCCTGGAAGAGATCATTGGAATGCTTTAATAAGGGTATTAAGATATTTAAAGCATACACTAAACTATGGTTTGCATTACACTCAATATCCCCCAGTATTAGAAGGATATAGTGATGCAAATTGGATTTCAGGGAGCACAGACAGTAAATCCACAAGTGGATATGTATTTACACTTGGTGGAGCAGCTGTGTCATGGAAATCATCCAAGCAAACATGTATAGCACGTTCGACAATGGAATCAGAGTTTATAGCTTAGATACAGCTGCTGATGAAGCTGAATGGCTTAAACATTTTCTGGAAGATATTCCATTCTGGCCCAAGCCTGTGACTGCAATATGTATACATTGTGACAGCATGGCTGCACAAGGTCGAGCCAAAAACGCTGAATATAATGGGAAGTCGAGACATATAAGGCGACGACATAAAACCATTAGACAATTACTCAAGAATGGAACTATTTCCATTGATTATATTAAATCTAAGGAGAATATTGCCGATCCTTTGACAAAAGGCCTATCCAAGGATCAAGTGGCATTTACATCGAGGGGAATGGGTTTAAAGCCAACTCAATGAGTTATAACTTGACGGAAACCTAACCTAGCTAATTGGAGATCCCATGGTCTAGGTTCAATAGGCAAACTAGTTGAGGAAAACTCAAAGTAAACAACACAATCTTTACTCATTCTTATGATGGAAAACAGTGTGTTGCCTGTTAGACGAAAAGGGTGAATAACTATTCTTAATAATGCTAATATCTTATGATTAAGATGAATAGAACAGGATATTCTTTATTAGCATTACCTATATGAGATTGATGTGGGGTCGCATCTTTGAGAATTGGTATGGCTACAATTCTCTAAAGGTCTCATGAAACCAGGATATGTTCAGGACCAAAATGAACACAACCGTATGAATTGACGTGTGTCAAGATGTGATATGTGTGATACTTATTGTTTCGATTTTACTACAAAGAATGATCAGTTCAAGATAGAAAATTCACTGCGTCATTAGGTAAAACCGGTAAGTACTCACTAGAGAAGGTTCAAGTCCAAAAGACACCTATCCCGATGCGTATCATATCTAAGTTCTCTGGAAGTACATTACTACTGTCAGCTAGTATCTTATTTTCAATTCAAATGTGGGGTATTGCTAAAGTTTGAATAGAAAATGTGGGGTATTGTTGGAACTGTGTTTTCTGTGGGACTTGGAGTCCCACATCGCCCAAACCTGTTTCACTCTAAGTCTTTATAAGTGAGTTCACTCACTTATAGTTTGAATTGATTTAGGCCAAAGCCATGGACCTTGGGCCTTAGAATTGGAGAGTTTGGGTGTATATATTAAATGTCAAAGATGGGCCTTGGGCCTTGGGGCTCTTGGGCTCGGATGGACGAAAAACACAAGTTACGTTTTTGATTTTTTGGATTCAGTTTTTTCCGATTGAACAGTTACGTTCAGTTTTTATTGAACAGTTGCATTCGGTTTTCTTTTTACAAAAAACTGATAAGCCAAAACGGTTGGATAAGTTCGAATTATGCCATTATATATATGGCAATAAAAATCAGAAACCGATATCAAGTTTTTCCATATTCATTCCTCCATTTTTCGCAGAGAACCACACAACCAATTCGCCAAGAATCCAAGTTCGAGTGCAAGAACTTGGATTAGATAGTTGTATCCTGCAAGATAGACGTCCATACGAACTACTGCACTGGTGTAGGGGCGTATTTCTGTCTTAGGAGATTGCTACTGCAAGCCTCTATCTTCCTAACCAAGTTAGTGTTTTGTGATTCATTAATTTAGTTTTGCAATTGTTTATATTGTGAGATATATAGATATATATATATATATATATATATATATTGTTTCCTTGTAATTCATATTCGAAATAAACTGTGCAATTGTTGTATAATATATATATACTTAACATTTGATTGTATCTAACACTATTTACTATTTTTTCATGCCACGTTTTGGTAAAAGCAGTCATGCATTGCCAAATCCTCTTGCATGCTTTGTTGAACTCATGCCACGTCCAAAACTCATGCGTATTACTAAAGAAAGATTTTTTGGTTGTACTGAAACATGCGCACATCCCTTTATATCATTATACAAGTAGAGGGATACTTGAAGAAAAAATTTCCTCCTCTTAAATAATAACATAGCGTACCGTCTCATGTTCTGAGTATATTAAAAAATCTCTCCTTACTAAACTATCTAATAACAAAAAAAAAAAAAACAAATTTCAGTTTGGAGCAAAAGATTTTTTTACCATGATCAAAGCCTTGATATGAACTCTTGTAAAATTCACGTCCTCAATCTCACCACCGCCTTTTTCTAACAAATCAAGCAAAATGTCTAGAAAACCCTTCACCTCCTCCACCTCCTCCTCCTGGCCACCACTGCCTCCTCCATTTCTCATGTTTTTCTTTCTCAAGTCTTCACGTTCTGAAATAACCTTCTCCACTAACGTGTCATATCTCCTATGAGTATCTTCAATTCTCTTCCCAAATCCCTACAAAGCAGTCTTCTTGCAAAACCAAACAAAATCTGACAAATTAAACTCCCCAAAAATCCTTGTCACCTCTCTCACGACAACCCTAGCTTCCTCATCCCTGCCCTCGTCACTCGGCCCTTTAGAACTTGCCAAAATCATCTTTGCAATCACGTTGTTGGAAAGCTTTGGTAGCTCCTCGGTGAGATTTACAGCTTCACCACTCTCAGCTTTCTTGGCCAACAGCCTCAAAAGCCTTAGGTACTTTTGTGTTTGAATCGAAGCAAAGTTGTTAATGCTATGGCTGCTTAGATACTCATTTATGCTGAGCTTCTTAATAAATTTCCAGTAGGGTCCATAAGGTGCAAAGGCAAGTGAAGCATTGTAGGTGAGCAGTTTGGTCGCAATGGACTCAATGTGGGATATGAAGGATAGCTCATGGGTTTTGAGGAACTCTTTCACGATCTCGGGCGAGGATACCACAATGCCTGGGACGAAGCCAAGGCAGATAGAGAATAAGGGGCCGAACCAGAGGGATAGGTTGTAGAAAGAGCGGTGGATGAGAGGGCCAATGAGGTGGAAATGGTCGATGATGGGTAAGACAAAAGGGCTTGGAGGGAGTAGGGTTTGGGATTTGGAGGTGAAGACGGGTCGGAGAATAAGATAAATGATGAAGAGAACAGAGAACAGAAAGAGAAGGTCAAGGACTGGCATGGCTTCTTGTGAGAGGAATAATGGTTGATAAGTAGATTTAGAAATTGGAAACTCCAAAACATGGTTCTTATATGTGCATAACGTGACACACCACTGTTCCAAAATTATATTATGAATAATCGAATTATTCAAAAAAGTTGGGTTCACAAGAAAGCCAATTAGCTAAATTGGGAGTAGCCGAACTATAGTCTATACTTATAAACACATGCAAAGTCCCTCTGTCATCAATATGGAATTCATTCTCAACATGTATCCTTACATATACTGAATTTTCAAGCATAAAACATGAAGACACAACTCAAGTGACATGGAGCATGTGTGGCCGTTGGTCTTTAGACGTGGGACAACATACTTTGATATCTTGAAGAAAGTTGAGGTTCTACCATAATCTCAATTGGCTATATGGGGAATACCCTAACTTTCTTATAAGCCCATGCAACTCATCAATATAGGCATCATTATCAACATGCCCCTTCATGTGTGGTGAATTTTCAAGCCTAAAACGTGTACAACACAATCTGAGTGACGTGGAGCATGTGCGGCCATTAGGCTTCACATGTGAGACAACCTGCTTTGATACCATGAATGAAGTTGAGGATCAACCATAAAATAAATTGGCTACATAGGGAGTAGCCCAACTCGTGTTGAAAATGAATCTCACATTAATGAGAGAAAAGACCTTGCATATGCTTATCAGTAGTTAGGCTACTCTCCATATCACCAATTGGTTTTATAGTGGAACACCAACTTTCTTCATTGTATCAAAGCACGTTGTCACATGTGTGAAGCCCAACGACCACTCATGCTCCATGTCACCCCGTTTATGATTCTTGAGGGAATGTGTTGACATGAATCTCACATTGATAAGAGTAGTAACATTGCATGAATTTATAAAAGGTTGGCCTATACCCCATATTACCAGTTGAATTTATGATAAAACCTCGGTCAACTTTCTTCAATCATTACAAATTATTAGTTTCAATAATTAATAAAACTATACAAGGTAAGAAATTCCGAATGCAAATTAAGAAGCAAAAATCGTTGGCAAAGGGAATTCATGCCACACCCACGTTGAGGAACGTAATCCCATGTTAGCAAAGCTATCTGCAAATTAGTAAATCATTATTAGGTAAAAAAAGGTCACGAATGAACCAAGTCATCCGAATAAAGACAAGAATGCTAGAAGAATCACTTGTCAACCAAATTAAGCATATGTCAACCATGCTGATAACAACATTTGACATAAATAATAATTTAATATCTTGACAAAAACTGATTACAGATGTCTCTTGATCATTGGTTACTATGTAAATCAATGTCACGTCTGGCAAAGTTGTTAAAATGTTTGTTAGGATGTTAAGTGATTAGTTCGCTGGTTAATTAGCTACTTTGTGCTTTAAGTAAAGCTTGTACTGTTCAGACATTACCTTTTTATTGGCATATTAAATTTGAAACCCACATCAAGGCCTCAAACTTTTTATTAACAAAAGCCTTCAAACATTTTCATAATCAACAACATGATCACTACCTTCTTTACGGGTCAAGGACATCAAGTAGGTTGAGACGTGCCACTGGAATACAAACTAGATCATGGGCTCGAGGAGTTGTCATTCCTGGCCGTTCATCCATTTCAAGAATAAGATCGTTACCGTTCATCTTCTTCTGATGTGGTCCTATAACTTTCCAATCAAAGCATTGAACCATAGCACCAAGTAGGGCATGCATCATTTGCATGACCAAGTTTACACCAGGGCATATCCTCCTCCCAGTCCCAAACGGAAGCAGCTCAAAATGTTGCCCCCTAACATCTAATGCACTCGTTCCATCTCCTCCACTGTGTGGTTGTGATAAGAATCTTTCAGGTTGAAAGTTCAAAGGATTTTCCCAATACTTTGGGTCCCTTCCAATGGCCCGAACATTCACAAATAGCATTGTGTTTTCTGGGATCACATATTTTCCAAATTTACATTTTTCTACACATTTTCTTATGACCATAGACACTGGAAGGTTTGGACCATCAGATTCTACGAGTAGTCGTTTATTCCCCACGACTCGATCGACCTCCTCCCTTACTTTCTTGAGCACCTTTGGATGGTTGATGAGTTCTGCCAGCGCCCACTCGATTAAAATGGCGGTTGTATCTGTCCCTGCGGTGAAGAAATCCTGAAAAAGTACAATTTGTTATTTTCTCAAAAGCCCTATATTAAGGTAAGGTAAGATAATTAGCGCTATAACTATTCAAAGAAAGTTTATGGGAAAGACTAATTTCTTGAGATAAACAATTAAGGGAATGTATCTCCACTTCTAAGGAAATATGACACAATAGAGAGCTATATATTACTTATGTTCTTAAAATTCTAAAAATCTAAATAAAAATAGGTTTTTGATATTAACATCCCACAAATTGTTGAATAAACCTCACATACTTAATACATCTCATATTTGTTTTTTCAATTAAAAATTATAAAAATACACCTCACATACTTCCTCATAATACCCTCACACCCCACACACTTAATACACCTCACATTTGCTTTTTCAATTATAAATTATAAAAATACACCCTACATTCTCAACATACATCTTGCATTTTCTACGTACACCCCCACATTTTCTGTACACCCCACATTTTCATACAAACACTGGTTTTTATATCTCATTTCGTTTTCTTTTTCGGAAAGAAATTTTGCAGAGTTGCTGCTTTCCATGGGGCAGAAAATGAGATTGAATCGTATCTCCAAATTTGTGTGTAAATTATAAGGTGTCTGGACCTGTAAATATCTTAAGGGCTTTCTGTCCAGGATGGAGGAATACCTTCTTTAACTGGTATATATGGATGGAAAAGACCAGATTCTTTGGTTCTATTTCAATATATAATATCCATCAATACTTGTCATTTTCTCAGGATGCATTCTCTAAATGATTCTTACATGCTTTCGGTTTACCTCATGTGAAGTTTCTGGAATATCGATTTCGTGTGCTATTCATCAAAAATAATTTTTCTTAAGCAACGTGTTGAATTTTCGTTAGTTAGGGTTTTGTTCAACAATGGAAGGTGAAAAGAGATTTTGATAGTTGAAGATAACTAATACATTAAGTGATTTATGGTGTATTTAGAGCCTAAAGAGATTTTGATAGTTGAAGATAAATAATACATTAAGTGATTTATGGTGTATTTAGAGCCTAATAAGGTTGAAATTATCATTTCACGTTAGGGAACACAAGTCATTTAATATTAAATTTCAATGTGAAGTGTATTCGGAATGCTAATAAAAAATGCCTAAAAATAATAATATAAAAACTGGATATTTCGACGGCAACGGAGAGTCGACGAGAAAGGGACGGAAGGGGATCAGGAGTCGACGGGAAGGGGGTGGAAAGGGATGGGGATTCGACGGGTCGACAAGGAGAGGTGCGTCAACGACTCAACGGATAGGTGCAAATGACAGAAGCCAATCCTACCGCCGTCGTCTTCTTCCCCAAATTAAACGAAAGCTGCATTTCCCTCGAATCAAATACAAACCCAACCCTAAAAACCAAATCAAATCACAAAAATAAATGGAAAGAACGGAAATTGGAGAAGTAGACGTCAGATTCTTCAATTGGGGTTTTTGTTGGTTGGTTGTATACGCTCGTTTGCAACACAACCACGAGCTCGTCGTTTAATATACTAAAGTATAAACTTCCCATTATGCTCTCAAAAAAAAAAAAACAACCTTCATCAAAATATAAGCTGAAATACAATCTAAAGTACACACAAAAGATAATAAGTTGCATTTTTTTCTTCTAAATTTATTATTATTAAGGGCGGAGGAAGAGTTCGAAATTATTAAAAGAGGAGGTTTCGAACCAAAGACGAATGAATAGAAACTAACACTCAATCCAACATGCATAACACTCATGAAGCAAAGAGAACCATCTGAATTAAATGGTTAAAGAAATTGATAGAAAACTTTACACGAAATATGGCAGGTCCAGAAACTAAACCATAAGTCCATAACATATAATACCTAATAGCAAAAAGCAATTTTATTTGGAGTCTGGACCATTAAACTAAACTAGCACTGCTCTAAATCTTCACTTGGGTGGAGGGAAGAAGATTGCATCACAAGTCCTCTTCGAACGGAAGAGTTTCTCTGTTTCCGAATCCACATTGAACGCAGCCTGGAGCACCTGCGGAGAAAGAGCCTTCCAGCATCCAATGCTTCCAGCCAAGTGGGTGAATATCGGGCTGCACGCAAGTAATTAAACGAATCACCAAGACGTTAAGACACCAATCGATAAACTTTTTCTGTGAAACCTTGCCAACTCTTTCGAATTAAGTAAGTTGTGTGTGTGGTGATGTATGTGTGTATTCCAAGCAGCAGGATGTTATAAATGCAGAGAAATATATAACTCAACTAGCTGAGCCTAAATCAAGAACAACGAAAGCGTAATTAGGCAAGACGAAAAAGCCTACTTGGGCGTAGTGATGATAGAAAACCATTCCAAGCCCTCCGGATCAGCAATCTTTGACACAACAAAAAACCGAGGAACGATGAAGAGATTACCGGCTTTGATGGTAGTTTCCAACACCCTCTTACCGTCGACACCAACAACCTGGACACGGCCGCTGCCCCTAACAATATAAGTCACCTGCAGAGCCGAGTCACAAGAAAATCCAGGGGAGCACATGGCACTCCCGTCCAACCTCACAAGGTCAGCACCGAGCCCAACCTCACCGACCAAAGGAAGGTTTTTGGTATTCAAGACCACAACTCTTCCACCATCCTTAATGTCAACATCCAAGGGAGCCTCTTCGCAATTCAACGTCATGCCATCGCGGTGTTCCTTCTTTGGCTCGGGCAAGTTAGCTCCGCTGAGCTTGACAATGCCCTTGCCGGACTGCTTGCCAACAAGAGTCTTCACAACACTCTCCTCCAAATCCCATGCCCGACCAACAAACTCGGTTGAGAAGCCGGTGAAAATGGCGTTGGAGCCATTGAGATAGAAGTCGGTAAACTCACCTCTCTTGTGAGCTTTTGACGTGTCGCCCAAGAAAAGAACAACGAACTCGGTGTCCTCCTTGTTATACCACCAAGTCACAACTCCGAAAGGGAGGGCAATCGCATCACCCTTCTTAACTGGAAGAACCTTCTCTTCCTTCTCCGGGAGGACAATTCCGACTACACCAGTACCTGAACGGACAAAACAAAAATTAGTTAACCCATATGATCTTATTTCATCATAAATTATCGACCGTTTATATATATAATTCATGATCCAGAAGCAGACAAGCAATCAAATAAACAAATAAGATCAACCCAATCATTGAAAAATGCCGAAAATCCGTAAAATTAAACAGAAAATTCAAAAATGTATACCTTGGAGGACATAGGCGACCTGGTTGGAGTCAGAGTATTTGGGGAGAGCGAACCCGTCCTTCTCCAGAGCGAGCTTGGCCGCGCCGATGTTACCTTCACGAAGCATGGGAAGCTCCGACGGGGACCAGGCAAAGTAGGACCCGCCATCGCTGCCGTACACCTTCTTGGCCAACTTGGGTGAAAGATCAAGCTCCATTCTTTGCGATTTTTTTCAAGAACCCAGAAAAAACCCAAAATCGAGAGAGAAGTGATCGATTGATTGATAGGATGCGATCGAGTGGTGAGGAAGGCGTATGTTGGGGAGTGTATATATAGGGGAGTTGAGCGGGTATGGAGGTACGACATTCTGTTGGAGAGAGATTAGAGAGGGAGGAGGAAGAGGTAGAATCTGATGAGGAGAGGGATTGTGAATTCGGATTGGATTAAGGATAATTGGATAGTCTGATTCTATCTAATCTTGAAAACATTAATCAGGATTAAAAGAAGATTAACGGGATAAAACTCTATCTATCTTGCTTTCTTACAATCACTTTGTAACGGATACTGATATTCAGACACCTTCACACCCTTGTTAATTATTAATTACTGATTTTTTTCAATTAATTCAATTTAATTGTCAAAAATTAAGAGGATATGTGAAAAGTAATTTTTTTTTAAAAAAAGGAAAATATAATATTCATCGAACAAATCAGAAAACGTACAAACTAAGGATAGTGTACACAATGGGCCTTGATAAAATCTTGCCAGGACTTTCAATCCGATTGAAGGAAAAAAAGTGTCTCGCACAACAAGAAAACCTATCATCAAATGACAATACATAGGCAAATTACAAAACATCTTCGAACAAACTATCCCTAACTAAATCAAGGGTTCTTCAAACCACATAAACTATTAATTACTACCAATTCCTACTCGAGCAAAACGATGCGCTGCCAAGTTACTTTCTCGCTAAACGTGGTTTATCAACGGCTGAGGCAAGGATATGAGTAAATGGCTCTACCATTTGTAATTTGTATAGAAATAGAATTGTTTGGGAGGTAGAAATATGAAGTTGTCTTTGAGGTGTTTATGTATAATTGCTATCTCAATTAATGTGTAAGTAATATTTCTGACATTTTGAAAAGAATCTAGAATAATAGATTAATGGGGCAGCTGATTAAGTGGGTAACGTGATAATTCAATTATCAATAATCACTTAACTTATCAATAATTTATCATTGTCATTAAAAAGTAATAGTTTATTGTTTCCATGCGTTCATTTTAAATTGTAGAAGAATTGGCTATTCACAGCATAAATAAATAAAATATTAAGCACATGCACAATCGTGCTTGTATCATACATTTGTTTCGCGACCTAAATTACTTTTAATCCTAATGAATTCAGTTCAGCTCAAGATTAAGTTCGTACCTTATTTAATAATTTGTCTCGCTTTTCATAAAAGGAAATAAAATTATTTTATTTGTAAGATGCCTGTATATAGGAGATATATATATATATATATATATACAGATTGCTTAAGGAAAGGGATCTCCATTTTTTTGAAAAAAATGGGGACACGCTCTCCACCGTTAGATTGGTTTTAATGAAATAGTGTTGTTGAGATTAAAACACAAATCATACAATCTCAATCACACAATTTCATTAAAGTTAAATTCAACGGTGGGGAGCGTGTCCCCATTTTTTTTAAAAAATGGGGACCCCTCCCCTTAAGCAATCTGTATATATATAAGAAACCTTTGAGGAAAGAGATTTTTTTTTTCTTTTTTTTTTAATGGGGATTAGTTGTAAGTTTCACACTACATCTAATTTTAACGATCTGAATCGTTTATTTTTCAAGTTGCACCTCATAGATCATCGTTGCAAAATATTAGACAAATCGGAAATGTTTAAGACATCTAATTGAGTTTAAATAAATTAACGAATACTTTGTTATATAAAAAAAAACAAATTTATCTTGATAATTAAATAGACAAATTTTGGATTGAATTGAATTTTTGTAAGGATGATCTATGAATTAAGATTTACAAAATAAACTGTTCCTATCGTTAAAATTTAATGTGAAGTGAACCTGAAACCTATCCCTATTTAAAAAAAAATAAAAATAAAAATCCTTTTGCATAAAGGACCTTTATATATATATTTAGGAAAGCATAAAAGACTTTTTAAAAAGCAAATAAAAAGATCCGAAATTTAGAATAACTTCACCAAAATTATGTAAAGTTGGGA